TTATATGGTTATATAACCAGGCAGCACACTGGTTATACGGTCATATAGCCAGGCAGCACACTGGTTATATGGTTATATAGCCAGGCAGCACACTTGTTATATGGTTATATAGCCAGGCAGCACACTGGTTATACGGTTATATAGCCAGGCAGCACACTGGTTATATGGTTATATAGCCAGGCAGCACACTGGTTATATGGTTATATAGCCAGGCAGCACAGTGGTTATATGGTTATATAGCCAGGCAGCACACTTGTTATATGGTTATATAGCCAGGCAGCACACTGGTTATATGGTTATATAGCCAGGCAGCACACTGGTTATATGGTTATATAGCCAGGCAGCACACTTGTTATATGGTTATATAGCCAGGCAGCACACTGGTTATATAGCCAGGCAGCACACTGGTTATATAACCAGGCAGCACACTGGTTATATGGTTATATAGCCAGGCAGCACACTTGTTATATGGTTATATAGCCAGGCAGCACACTTGTTATATGGTTATATAGCCAGGCAGCACACTGGTTATACGGTTATATAGCCAGGCAGCACACTTGTTATATGGTTATATAGCCAGGCAGCACACTGGTTATATGGTTATATAGCCAGGCAGCACACTGGTTATACGGTTATATAGCCAGGCAGCACACTGGTTATATGGTTATATAACCAGGCAGCACACTGGTTATACGGTTATATAGCCAGGCAGCACACTGGTTATATGGTTATATAGCCAGGCAGCACACTGGTTATATGGTTATATAGCCAGGCAGCACACTTGTTATATGGTTATATAGCCAGGCAGCACACTGGTTATATGGTTATATAGCCAGGCAGCACACTGGTTATATGGTTATATAGCCAGGCAGCACACTTGTTATATGGTTATATAGCCAGGCAGCACACTGGTTATATGGTTATATAGCCAGGCAGCACACTGGTTATATGGTTATATAGCCAGGCAGCACACTTGTTATATGGTTATATAGCCAGGCAGCACACTGGTTATACGGTTATATAGCCAGGCAGCACACTGGTTATATATCCAGGCAGCACACTGGTTATATGGTTATATAACCAGGCAGCACACTGGTTATATGGTTATATAGCCAGGCAGCACACTTGTTATATGGTTATATAGCCAGGCAGCACACTGGTTATATGGTTATATAGCCAGGCAGCACACTTGTTATATGGTTATATAGCCAGGCAGCACACTGGTTATATGGTTATATAGCCAGGCAGCACACTGGTTATACGGTTATATAGCCAGGCAGCACACTGGTTATATGGTTATATAGCCAGGCAGCACAGTGGTTATATAGCCAGGCAGCACAGTGGTTATATGGTTATATAGCCAGGCAGCACACTGGTTATATGGTTATATAGCCAGGCAGCACACTGGTTATATGGTTATATAGCCAGGCAGCACACTGGTTATATGGTTATATAGCCAGGCAGCACACTTGTTATATGGTTATATAGCCAGGCAGCACACTGGTTATATAGCCAGGCAGCACACTGGTTATATAACCAGGCAGCACACTGGTTATATGGTTATATAGCCAGGCAGCACACTTGTTATATGGTTATATAGCCAGGCAGCACACTTGTTATATGGTTATATAGCCAGGCAGCACACTGGTTATACGGTTATATAGCCAGGCAGCACACTTGTTATATGGTTATATAGCCAGGCAGCACACTGGTTATATGGTTATATAGCCAGGCAGCACACTGGTTATACGGTTATATAGCCAGGCAGAACACTGGTTATATGGTTATATAACCAAGCAGCACACTGGTTATACGGTTATATAGCCAGGCAGCACACTGGTTATATGGTTATATAGCCAGGCAGCACACTGGTTATATGGTTATATAGCCAGGCAGCACACTTGTTATATGGTTATATAGCCAGGCAGCACACTGGTTATATGGTTATATAGCCAGGCAGCACACTGGTTATATGGTTATATAGCCAGGCAGCACACTTGTTATATGGTTATATAGCCAGGCAGCACACTGGTTATATGGTTATATAGCCAGGCAGCACACTGGTTATATGGTTATATAGCCAGGCAGCACACTGGTTATATGGTTATATAGCCAGGCAGCACACTGGTTATACGGTTATATAGCCAGGCAGCACACTGGTTATATATCCAGGCAGCACACTGGTTATATGGTTATATAACCAGGCAGCACACTGGTTATATGGTTATATAGCCAGGCAGCACACTGGTTATATGGTTATATAGCCAGGCAGCACACTTGTTATATGGTTATATAGCCAGGCAGCACACTGGTTATATGGTTATATAGCCAGGCAGCACACTGGTTATACGGTTATATAGCCAGGCAGCACACTGGTTATATGGTTATATAGCCAGGCAGCACAGTGGTTATATAGCCAGGCAGCACAGTGGTTATATGGTTATATAGCCAGGCAGCACACTGGTTATATGGTTATATAGCCAGGCAGCACACTGGTTATATGGTTATATAGCCAGGCAGTACACTGGTTATAGGGTTATATAGCCAGGCAGCACACTGGTTATATGGTTATATAGCCAGGCAGCACACTGGTTATATGGTTATATAGCCAGGCAGCACACTGGTTATATGGTTATATAACCAGGCAGCACACTGGTTATACGGTTATATAGCCAGGCAGCACACTGGTTATATGGTTATATAGCCAGGCAGCACACTGGTTATATGGTTATATAGCCAGGCAGCACACTGGTTATAGAGGCAGGCGGAACAATTATAATAGTGGCAGGCGGTACAGTGGCAATAGAAATAGCGGTACACACACACACACACACACACACACACACACACGCACACACACGCACGCACCGACAATCCCTTGTCAACACATGTTCTCCATACCATTATGGATCGTCTGGATCACTGTAATTGCAAAACTAATTAGCATTTAGTGTCTTGTGTAACGATACGTTGTGATGATGGTAGACTGGAGTTAACGACCCTCGCTTGTCACGCATCACAACTGCGCAATTCGGCCTCAAACATCTCAGAAGGAGGTTTATTGCTTTTGTTATAATGCATAGTTACGACTTTTTTATGGTGATTGAATCTATATATATACATACATATATATATATATATATATATATATATATATATATATATATATATATATATATATATATATATATATATATATATATATGTGTGTGTGTGTGTGTGTATTGTATTTTCTTTATGTTTGTATGTATTAGTTATATGTACTCACCTATTTGTGTCTACAGGATCGAGTTTTATGTCTTGGGCCCTGAAAATCGTCTAAAGCAAGGTTTAAATCAATCAAAAATGTTTGGCATATTTACTTCAAGAAATTTGCATTTTTGTAACTTCTTATTTTACTTCTATTTAATAAAAAAAGGACAAGTTAGAACATACAATTATATTCATTCTTTCTTACGTCTCTATAGCTCATGTCTTTCAAGCGTCCATCTATGCTCTTTTAAATTTCGGGCTTATCTTGAGGTTATCTTGAGATGATTTCGGGGCTTTAGTGTCCCCGCGGCCCGGTCCTCGACCAGGCCTCCACCCCCAGGAAGCAGCCCGTGACAACTGACTAACACCCAGGTACCTATTTTACTGCTAGGTAACAGGGGCATAGGGTGAAAGAAACTCTGCCCATTGTTTCTCGCCGGCGCCTGGGATCGAACCCAGGACCACAGGATCACAAGTCCAGTGTGCTGTCCGCTCGGTCGACCGGCTCCCCTACAGAGCTACAGTCAAATCTAAAATTAATACATAAAAAAACACGACAGATATCTAGTAAGAAGTGATTTTAATAAGACCGACTCACTGTTGTGTAACCAGACCTGATGACATGAGTTGTGTTTACTCTCCAGCGGTGATGATATGAAAGTAGACTTTCCAAAACTTACAAAAACATTAACACCAATTAGTTTCACATCTTCCCTCAGGGATAAATAACTACCAGAGATCTTCCCTGCGAGAATACCCAAAATATTTAGTTATGGAACTCATTTTGACATGTTCCCGACCAAAATATACGACCACTGCAACCATTCAAACAACTTGTAAGCTAACTGCTTATTATACTTAATGATATTTAATAAAATAAAGGCACTATAATATTCAGTTCTTGTTTGCAAAAAATATAAATAAACTAAAATCACTAATAAGCAAAAGAAAAAATCGATCATATACTCATATATTGAATGAGCTTTGAACTCATATATAAGCAAAACAATAGAACAGAGTTAGCTAAAATATCAAACATAAAGAAGTAAAAAAAAAGTCACACATAAACTCCAGAGAAAAAAAAAATATTCTGCCGCAGAAAATTGCAAAACTGGAGTGGACTAGAGAGTATAAATCGCCTGCCTGCCTTGATTACGTGATATATGATTCACGTCTGAATCTGTGCGCGAAAACTGTGCTGCCTTGTGGCTTATCGCTCGTTGCAGCCTCGCTCTATCTGAATGGCGCTCTCAGCCTGTATAGACCCGCCGCTCTCTGTTAAAAGTATTTTCAAAATATCTTGTTTTGTCAGATGTGATTACTGAAAATGTTGCTGCGACCCCAACCCCTCCCAACCCCTCCCTCTCCCATCAGTATCTCCCCTTTCTCCCACCATAATAACATTAATGAGCAAATCAACTGGAGCTCTGAGGCGAATCGAACCTGCGACCATGGCACAGTCAGCTGTTTATCTTACCACTGTCCTTCACTGACTCGGTAGTTCTCTGGTCGCGAGTTCGAGTCCCTCAGAGCTCCAGTTAATTTTCTCACCGATATGTATCACGTTAGTGGGATTTTATTGTGTTAACTGGAATTGTACTAATGTGAAAAGCGAATTTTTGCTCCTGAATGAAAACAAGTTTAGTAACCGAACATTCCAAGTTGCTGTGAACGTTTACAGTTCTCCCGCGAACATATCATTGAGTACACAACCCAGGGTCGTACTCCCCAGGGTTGGGTACTCTAGGCTAGTACTCCCTAGGGTTGGGTACTCTAGGGTAGTACTCTCCAGGGTTGGGTACTGTAGGGTAGTACTCTCCAGGGTTGGGTACTCTAGGGTAGCACTCCCCAGGGCTGGGTACTCCAGGGTCGTACTCTCCAGGGTTGGGTACTCCAGGGTAGTACTCCCCAGGGTTGGGTATTCCAGGGTCGTACTCTCCAGGGTTGGGTACTCCAGGGTAGTACTCTCCAGGGTCGTACTCTCCAGGGTTGTGTACTCTAGGGTAGTACTCTCCAGGGTTGTGTACTCCAGGGTAGTACTCCCCAGGGTTGGGTACTCTAGGGTCGTACTCTCCAGGGTTGTGTAATCCAGGGTAGTACTCCCCAGGGTTGGGTAGTCTAGGGTAGTACTCTCCAGGGTTGTGTACTCCAGGGTAGTACTCTCCAGGGTTGGGTACTCCAGGGTAGTACTCCCCAGGGTTGGGTACTCCAGGGTCGTACTCTCCAGGATTGGGTACTAGAGGGTAGTACCCCCCAGGGTTGGGTACTCTAGGGTAGTACTCTCCAGGGTTGGGTACTCCAGGGTAGTACTCCCCAGGGTTGGGTACTCCAGGGTAGTACTCCCCAGGGTTGGGTACTCTAGGGTCGTACTCTCCAGGGTTAGGTACTCTAGGGTAGTACTCCCCAGGGTTGGGTACTCCAGGGTTGTGTACTCCAGGGTAGTACTCCCCAGGGTTGGGTACTCCAGGGTCGTACTCTCCAGGATTGGGTACTCTAGGGTAGTACCCCCCAGGGTTGGGTACTCTAGGATAGTACTCTCCAGGGTTGGGTACTCCAGGGTAGTACTTCCCAGGGTTGGGTACTCCAGGGTAGTACTCCCCAGGGTTGGGTACTCCAGGGTAGTACTCCCCAGGGTTGGGTACTCTAAGGTAGTACTCTCCAGGGTTGGGTACTCCAGGGTAGTACTCCCCAGGGTTGGGTACTCCAGGGTAGTACTCCCCAGGGTTGTGTACTCTAGGGTCGTACTCTCCAGGGTTAGGTACTCTAGGGTAGTACTCCCCAGGGTTGGGTACTCCAGGGTAATACTCCCCAGGGTTGGGTACTCTAGGGTAGTACTCCCCAGGGTTGGGTACTCCAGGGTAGTACTCCCCAGGGTTGGGTACTCTAGGATAGTACTCCCCAGGGTTGGGTACTCCAGGGTAGTACTCCCCAGGGTTGGGTACTCCAGGGTAGTACTCCCCAGGGTTGGGTACTCCAGGGTAGTACTCTCCAGGGTTGGGTACTCCAGGGTAGTACTCCCCAGGGTTGGGTACTCCAGGGTAGTGTACCAAGGGTAGTCTACCCCAATGTGGTGTCCCTGGGGGAGGCCACCGATTAGCTTTAGCATGTCATCGAAGTAAACGTTTCAGAGGGACACAGGATCGCCCCTCTGAAACGTTTCTTTTGATGGCATTCTGAAGTTAATTACAAGTGGAAAACGTATATCACATCAATAAAACCTGCTATATATATATTATCTTAGAAACGACGTCGTCAGAGAAATAAATATGGCTCTCTCCGCCCCTCAATATGGCTCCTCAATATGAAATAAATATGGCTCTCTCTCTCTCTGGAGGCCTGGTCGAGGACCGGGCCGCGGGGACACTAAAAAGCCCCGAAATCATCTCAAGAAGATAACCTCTCTCTCTCTCAGAGGCACTAAATAGATCATCCTGTGATAAGCTTCAAACTATAAAGCGTTGATAAATAAATTACCAGTTAACATATCAGGAGTGCAAAGTGATAAAAATGGATCAAAGGACCTGTGAAAAATATGAAACAACGAATAGATGCTAAGATATATATAGTACTATACATCTTGTAAATTTGATCTATAATGAAGAAACCAAAAATATGATGATCCTCTCTATAGTCTTATCTAAAGTTTTTAAACATGATTCAAGTCTTTGTCGTGCATCTAGTGATAAAAAACCTGAACCTAACCCAGTGCCTTACATACAGATTCTGAAACACATACAGATTCTGAAACACATACAGATTCTGAAACACATACAGACTCTGCAACACATACAGACTCTGCAACACATACAGACTCTGCAACACATACAGACTATGCAACACATACAGACTCTGCAACACATACAGACTCTGCAACACACATAGACTCTACAACACAAACTTTTCTGCCAGTCCCTCTCTCAGGAGTAAGCTACCAAACACAAGTTGTGACATTTACCAACAGACAAATGCTCACTTGCAGGAGCATAACAATTTCATCATTTCCTCCTGAAATACGAACAGTTACGCACAACAATTCAGCCACAGGTTGAGGCTCAAATATGCCGAGGCTACAGATCTTGTAATTAGATGGCTAATAAAACTCTATATTATATTAATAAAGTATAGAATACCCCATTGTTCATATAACTATACAAAGTTCGGTTCTAGTTTGCATACTTTAAAGTAAACCTTACTGAATGACATAAAATATATTAGTAATAATAATACAAATAATATTAAGCTTGCATCATGCTTTGCGTCATGCGTGGGTGAGGTGATGTGTATGGCAAGTGCGTCATGCGTGGGTGAGGTGATGTGTATGGCAAGTGCGTCATGCGTGGGTGAGGTGATGTGTATGGCAAGTGCGTCATGCGTGGGTGAGGTGATGTGTATGGCAAGTGCGTCATGAGTGGGTGAGGTGATGTGCATGGCAAGTGCGTCATGCGTGGGTGAGGTGATGTGTATGGCAAGTGCGTCATGCGTGGGTAAGGTGATGTGTATGGCAAGTGCGTCATGAGTGGGTCTTCACTCGCGGGGTTATCTTTACTGAAATTTGACTTATAAGTCAAAATTTCTACATTAATTTTGCCATTATAAAACATGTACAAATATTAGACTGAGATAGAGGGGAAGCAACAGCCCAGGCGGCAGTGGGCGTGAGCAGCACCCAAGGGGCGGTAGTGGGCGTGAGCAGCACCCAAGGGGCGGTAGTGGGCGTGAGCAGCACCAAGGGGCGGTAGTGGGCGTGAGCAGCACCCAAGGGGCGGTAGTGGGCGTGAGCAGCACCCAAGGGGCGGTAGTGGGCGTGAGCAGCACCCAAGGGGCGGTAGTGGGCGTGAGCAGCACCCAAGGGGCGGTAGTGGGCGTGAGCAGCACCCAAGGGGCGGTAGTGGGCGTGAGCAGCACAAAGGGGCGGTAGTGGGCGTGAGCAGCACCCAAGGGGCGGTAGTGGGCGTGAGCAGCACCCAAGGGGCGGTAGTGGGCGTGAGCAGCACCCAAGGGGCGGTAGTGGGCGTGAGCAGCACCCAAGGGGCGGTAGTGGGCGTGAGCAGCACCCAAGGGGCGGTAGTGGGCGTGAGCAGCACCCAAGGGGCGGTAGTGGGCGTGAGCAGCAGCACCAAGGGGCGGTAGTGGGCGTGAGCAGCAGCACCAAGGGGCGGTAGTGGGCGTGAGCAGCAGCACCAAGGAGCGGTAGTGGGCGTGAGCAGCAGCAGCAAGGGGCGGTAGTGGGCGTGAGCAGCACCCAAGGGGCGGTAGTAGGCGTGAGCAGCAGCAGCAAGGGGCGGTAGTGGGCGTGAGCAGCACCCAAGGGGCGGTAGTGGGCGTGAGCAGCACCCAAGGGGCGGTAGTGGGCGTGAGCAGCAGCAGCAAGGGGCGGTAGTGGGCGTGCACAGCACCAAGGGGCGGTAGTGGGCGTGCACAGCACCAAGGGGCACTCAGCAGGTGGAAGGAGGCGGCAAAACAAGAAGCCATCCCTCTGACGACCCCATTCTTCCGCGCCACCGGCAGTGTTTCCATGGTCGGCCGACGACTGATGCTTCTCATTCCTTTAAAGTGACCCCTGAGACCCGCCAACCTGGCCCTCAGTGGCGCAGCTGCCATTTGTGCCATACTAAACGTTCGACTGGATCAATCTTGCATCATACGGGATATAATTATTCTGGTTTTCGGAATGGTGGATATCTGTTTTTACTGACAAAGTTTGGAGAGTTCTGTCCCACAAGAACATTTCTGACATTACTCAGTTTTGTTCTTTGTCCATATTTTTCCCAGTGTGTCGCCTTATGAACTATGTCCCATAATGACTCGTTCAGTAATTCTCTAAATTTGTACGGCACAATTTACTCTCCACCTGATATTGTTTTCTCTTTAACTGGCCTCGATAACCTGCGTCTCTTCCAGCTCACTCCTCTTCCCTAATACTTTTACATACAGACTCTGCAACACATACAGACTCTGCAACACATACAGACTCTGCAACACATACAGACTCTGCAACACATACAGACTCTGCAACACATACAGACTCTGCAAGTCTGGTCTTTCTGGTAGGTGGTCTTTCTTTGATCATTCAGAAGCATAAAGGCATGAATTACTCTGGATTATTTATAAACATTTAAGGTCTTATATTTCAACTATTTGCTCGTTCTATACTTTTGTCTCTTTATTCCTCCAAGGAGTGTGGGACCAACCGGGCTGTGGTGGGTATGTGGACCGCTCCAAGCAACAGCCTGGTGGACCAAGCTCTCACAAGTCAAGCCTGGCCTCGGGCCGGGCTTGGGGAGTAGAAGAACTCCCAGAACCCCATCAACCAGGCATCAGCCAGGTAACCCCTATGTATTGCGGTGTCCTTCAGAGTGACAGCTGTAATACAGGCATAAACTACAGTAAAATGACCTCATTGGAAGAGCTATGTATGTAGGTCATGAGTGATGGATGAGTCACTTACCTGGCGAACATAAGTGGCTCTCGCTAGAAACAAGTTTGCAAGATTTTGAATATAATATAACAAAGTGATTTGCTTCACTTGCTGCTTCAAAAAGTGGAAAGGTGACCAAATTACGTTTTGTAGATGGCAGATGATATATCATTATGCAGACAGCGCAGCATTGATTTATCTGCATCGTTGCACAATAGTTGAATGTTGCACGATATCGCAACCCTCGTGGAGTGTGAGCGAAGACACGTGTGCCTCCACAATCTCCAACCCTTGCGTGGGAGATTTCTTGAACAGATGACCGTCATTGGCGGGTCCTTGCAAGGGAGGAGTGGCAGAATGTTGAATATTGATGGGATGGAAGGAGGGGAGTGTGCTCTAAAGAGAAAGAGGGAAAGAGAGAGAGAGAGAGAGAGAGAGAGAGAGAGAGAGAGAGAGAGAGAGAGAGAGAGAGAGAGAGAGAGAGAGAGAGAGAGAGAGAGAGAGAGAGAAGATATATATATATATATATATATATATATATATATATATATATATATATATATATATATATATATATATATATATATATATATACATACATACATACATACATACATACATACATACATACATACATACATATATATATATATATATATATATATATATATATATATACAGTTACACATAATAAACAATGCCTGTACAGCGTAGTTAGGTTTACATTTGTCATTCAAGAAGCGTACTTATCTATGAACCAATTTCACGTGTCTTAAACTCGAATACTTGTACTGAATTAGGTGGCAGCATTTGGTCAATAACGAAAGGGAACCACAACGATTACTTGTATAGATATTGAATGATCACGTGAATGTTTCATATGATCACGTGGAGCTTAAAATCTCCCAGACGTAACACAACGATAGTGGAGAAAACATAAGAGAGAGAGAAAAAATTAAACAATGAATTAAGCAACGTATTTCCAGTGAACAACTAAAACACAGACTGATATACACACATTACAATCTTAATTAACCAGAATATTCTAATATCACATTATTATAAATAAAAAATGTACATATTCTTATCCATTCTATCTCCTACCTTAACACATTCTTTACAAGGACAATGGCAAATTTATTAAGCTTTAGCTGCTAAATATGATAAAATATAATTCCCAATTCCATTAAGTTGCATATCCTCACACCACCTTTACATTCTATACCCGAGAACGTGTTGTTTTACTTGAGTTTACTTAATTCCTATGTCACCACCTCGGAAGGCTCAGACACTAGCTTTAATTGTGTCTTCTTGATTGACACTAGTAATTGGGAGAACTATTACGTACACCAGAGTGGAGGTTACGAAGTGCGGGTTAGATGTAAAAACTGGATTGTGAACCAGCTAGATGACTTCAAGTTGACTGAGGGTTCTGGCAGACTCCAGATTGTCACTTTTGCGGATCCTGGTCAATTATTAAAGTGCCCGAATGGGGCGACTCAGCACGTTGATTCCATCCCTGTTCTGCTCGAAAGACTGTTTCAGTGTTAAGGTTTGTGAAAGACATTGTTAAGGCTTGTGAGAGAGACATTGTTAAGGCTTGTGAGAGAGACATTGTTAAGGCTTGTGAGAGAGACATTGTTAAGGCTTGTGAGAGACATTGTTAAGGCTTGTGAGAGACATTGTTAAGTCTTGTGAGAGACATTGTTAAGGCTTGTGAGAGACATTGTTAAGGCTTGTGAGAGACATTGTTAAGAATTGTGAGAGACATTGTTAAGGTTTGTGAGAGACATTGTTAAGGTTTGTGAGAGACATTGTTAAGTCTTGTGAGAGACATTGTTAAGGCTTGTGAGAGACATTGTTAAGGTTTGTGAGAGAGACATTGTTAAGGCTTGTGAGAGACATTGTTAAGAATTGTGAGAGACATTGTTAAGGTTTGTGAGAGACATTGTTAAGGCTTGTGAGAGACATTGTTAAGTCTTGTGAGAGACATTGTTAAGGTTTGTGAGAGACATTGTTAAGGCTTGTGAGAGACATTGTTAAGAATTGTGAGAGACATTGTTAAGGCTTGTGAGAGACATTGTTAAGGCTTGTGAGAGACATTGTTAAGTCTTGTGAGAGACATTGTTAAGGTTTGTGAGAGACATTGTTAAGGCTTGTGAGAGACATTGTTAAGAATTGTGAGAGACATTGTTAAGGCTTGTGAGAGACATTGTTAAGGTTTGTGAGAGACATTGTTAAGTCTTGTGAGAGACATTGTTAAGGCTTGTGAGAGACATTGTTAAGGCTTGTGAGAGATATTGTTAAGGCTTGTGAGAGAGACATTGTTAAGGCTTGTGAGAGACATTCTTAAGAATTGTGAGAGACATTGTTAAGGTTTGTGAGAGACATTGTTAAGGCTTGTGAGAGACATTGTTAAGTCTTGTGAGAGACATTGTTAAGGTTTGTGAGAGACATTGTTAAGTCTTGTGAGAGACATTGTTAAGAATTGTGAGATACATTGTTAAGGCTTGTGAGAGACATTGTTAAGGCTTGTGAGAGACATTGTTAAGGCTTGTGAGAGACATTGTTAAGGCTTGTGAGAGATATTGTTAAGGCTTGTGAGAGACATTGTTAAGGCTTGTGAGAGACATTGTTAAGGCTTGTGAGAGACATTGTTAAGGATTGTGAGAGACATTGTTAAGGATTGTGAGAGACATTGTTAAGGTTTGTGAGAGATATTGTTAAGGCTTGTGAGAGATATTGTTAAGGCTTGTGAGAGACATTGTTAAGGCTTTTGAGAGACATTGTTAATGGGTTGAGGAGCTGAATATATTAATATGCCAGGTCTCATTATATTAACTGGTAATTTATCTGTGAAAAATTAAATTACAAATGGAAATGACAAATAATGGGCAGATACATTAATTTAATTTCATAAAGACAAAAAATATTTACTACTAATATTTTGTGTGTGTTGTGGAGAGAGTTGTGGTCATACACTGGCCTTGATTATGCCAAACGAGTTTTTAAACGTTTCTCTAACAACACGGGGATTGTAAGCTCATCTACCGCAGGATTTCTGTAAATCCCTCTTTAGGTGCGTACGTTAGTTTGTGTAGTGCTCAACTAGCAGTGACTGCTGGGGAGTGGGGTCCAGCTCTTCATGCCCCTCTCACTAACCCTCTTGTACCTGCTATAGTTTTTTTTTTTTTTAACTGTGATGATATTGGAGTTCCTTGTCGTGTCTGGTCTTGAAGGGCCCTGAGGGTCTTCTGCTACTTGTTCTTCCATATGGCGGCCAGTGCTAAAGGGTGAGAATATTTCTATGTTTGGTGCTACATAGTCTCTCCTGTGTGGTACCTTCTTTTGATAATTACTCTCTGTTTCCTTACAATTATTCGACTTATTTGTATTTCCAGGTAAGAGGTGTCAGTGTAATTACCTAGTCTGGTGAGTGTAATTAGAACCTGGGGACTGAAACTACTGACCCACATGAGAGGACTGACGGTTGAGAGTATGTGATCAACGATATAATGGATATAATGAAAGGACATTATATTCAGTGAGTGACTGACGACAAAAATAAAGGCAGCAACATACTGGTGCATTAAGGTGCATCTTGTGTTAGCTTGACATTGCTTTTAATCACGGAGCGAGGGTCCTCACAGGTCCTCTCATGGGTAGAGGAAGAGGTATCACTCTCCTGCATGACATGCAGTCTGCCCCATCTCCTCTTGGACAAGTCAAAAGACTCTGCGTGGAGACTCAACTCTGCTGCCACACTCTACTTAGATCCTTCTTTTCCTTGAGGATGACTGGGATTTATGATTCCAATTATAAAAATCACTTGAAATTTATGCATCCTAAAAGCTTTCCGTTTTTGAGAGATACGTTTTGCTTCCTACTATCTCTTTCTTCTCGTCATTCCTCTCTTCCCTTCGTTATCTCCCCCTCGCCTCTTCCCTTCTCTCAGTTTCTTCCATTTGTTTCTTAGGTATTATTTCCTTTACATTTCCTTCAGTAGCTCTCTTTTGTTTCATCTGTTATTCCCTATCCAACAGGTACTCTGCCAGAGAACTCTATGAACGTCAGAGGCCCGAGACTATTCAACGCGCTTTCACTACACATAACTGGCCGACCCCTCACAGTGTTCAAGAGAGAACTTTGTTCAAGAGAGAACTTAATAAACACCTCCAAAGGATACCTGATA